GTTAGCAGCCCGTGTCCTGTCTGATGGGGAGAGGGTGCAGGAGAGAAGGGAGCAGGCTGTGTTCATGGAGGACTGTGAGGGACCCTGGGCCCAAGCAGGGCCTCTCAGAATAGGCCTTTCTCCACTCCACCCCTTGCCCACCTCCTTGCCACATGGACTACAGGGAAGATTTGGTACCTGAGGGATCAGGCCATTTCACCGGCAGACAGGTGTGGTGCACAGTGGATCCACGGCATCAGGGAAGGCAGCGTCAGCAGAGGATGTGTTCTGTGGGGCAACAGAACACAACCTGAGGAGGACTGGTGCCTGAAACGTGGACTCTCTTGGGCTCTCAGAGGTTGCTGGAGGAGAATCTGAGGGCAGTGGCTAAAGCCGCTGTAACTTGGGCATCCCTGTTAATATGACCTTGTTTGCTCCTACAGGTCTGGAAGGCCTGAGATATTTGGGTTATGGAATGAATGGGTGGGATGAGACAGGTCCGCGTGTTCATTCATTAGGCAAACATTTGTGGAGCCTCTCTGTGCCGTGCACGCTGCTGGATGCTGGGCACGCAATGGTTCACAAAACAGAGATGATCCCTGCCCCGCGGACCTTATGGTCTGTGTCTGTGCAGAATGTGCATTCCAGGCAGCGGGAATAGCAGGTGGAAAGATTTGGGGACAAATCCTTGGCCAGCCACCAGGAGGTTCAAAGATCAGTGGGGCAGGGTCGTGAAAGAGAGTGGGGGGGGGGCGGGGAGAGGCAGGAGAGGAGGCTGGAGATAGGCAGGGGCCAGACCTCGCAGGGCCGCGTTAGGATTTCAAATTTAAGCCTAACTCCAATGGGAAGGGGAGCGATGTGAACAGACTGATTTTTGTAAAAATTGCCCTGGCGTCTGTGTGGAGAATGAATTGGGGCAACGGGGCAGGGAGAAAAGTATGGAGGCTAAGACAGTTTCTGAAGGCAGGGATGATGGTGGCATGGCTGTGGTGATGGGGCGAATGGAGGAACTTGAGAAGTATTTTTAAAAAAGAATTGAGACAGGCCGGCAGCTCATGCCTGTAATCCTAGCACTCTGGGAGGCTGAGGCAGGAGGATCGCTTGAGCTCAGGAGTTCCAGACCAGCCTGGGCAAGAGCAAGGCCCCATCTCTACTAAAAATAGAAAGATTAGCCAGGCTTGGTGGCACACACCTATAGTTCCAGCTACTCAGGAGGCTAAGGCGGGAGGATCACTTGAGCCCAGGAGTTTGAGCTTGCTGTGAGCTATGATGACGCCACTGTACTCTACCCTGCAGCAACAGAATGAGACTCTGTCTCAAAAAAAAAAAGAAAAAAAAAAGAATTGAGACAATAAAGGTTTTTCTCACATCCTTGCCTTGGAACAGACAGGCTGAAATGTTGACTTTAGACAAGGCAAACAGCAACTATTTCAACCATGACTGTGCCATCTGTCCTCATTGTGGGCTGTTGTGCTTTAGGTCAGCTGAGAGCCAAAGCTGTCACACAGGCCCATTCCCCTGCCTTAGCCAGGGCCGCATCCAGGGAATCAGTTGTTTTTTTTTTTTTTAGACAGAGTCTCACTGTGTTGCCCGGGCTAGAGTGAGTGCCGTGGCGTCAGCCTAGCTCACAGCAACCTCAAACTCCTGGGCTCAAGCGATCCTCCTGCCTCAGCCTCCCAAGTAGCTGGGACTACAGGTATGTGCCACCATGTCCGGCTAATTTTTTTCTATACATTTTTAGTTGTCCAATTAATTTCTTTCTATTTTTAGTAGAGACGGGGTCTCGCTCTTGCTCAGGCTGGTTTCGAACTCCTGAGCTCAAACAATCCGCCCGCCTCGGCCTCCCAGAGAGCTAGGATTACAGGCGTGAGCCACCGCGCCCGGCCCAGGGAATCAGTTTTATGTTTAAAGATTTCCTGAGAAAGCTTTCACAGCATCTCCTGCAACCTCTGCTCATGTTTAAAATAATTATTATGGGGAGATTCCTGTTCATATTTCATCTGAATGCCTCTTGCTCTTAAAGTGTTTTGATTGCTGATGAAGATGAAGATGCTAAAATAATACGAATGATGTCATAATGACAGTTCTGAATTGCGCGTGTTCCAAAGCCAAAGTCATTTGTTCGTTAGCAGCAAAGAAAAATGGCTGCATATCCCCAGAAAAAGAATCAAATTAGATTTTTACAGCGATTTAGCTCGCTGCTGAGTTCTTTCCCCTTGCTACTGAAAGCGTGGACCCCGCAAGAGCACCTGGTAGCTTGTCAGAAATTCAGGACTGAATTGGAATCTGCATTTTAACACGGTCTCCATCTCCAGGCAATTCCAGGTAATTCATAGACACTTTAAATTTTGAGAAGCATCACCCGAGATCACCCTTAGGCCATCTGAAAGTGGGTGGGCAGTGGCAGGTGCAGATATTTGAAATGCAGGGTGCCTCAGCAGCGGCCAGGAAACCCAACTGGTCCGACAGGAACTGGCTTTTCTCTGGAAGTCGCCTGCTGCCAAGTCACGTAGAGCATTGCAGGCAAACTCGGAGACAACGTGTTGGTTGCTGGTTGTGTGGCTGGTGAGAGGCACTGGGTGGACACTGCCCTGGCGCTGCCAGGTAGAAACTGGGGGTCGGGGGACACACGGCAAGTTGCTCCCCTGGGCAGCGCCAGAGGCCGAGGAGAGCTGAGGTCCCCCTCCCCCTCAGTGTGGACAGTTTGGTCCTCGTCCTCTTATCTAGGTCCTCTAGAGCCCTCGTTCTCCACGGTGGTCTGGGTGACTCTATCGCTTCCTTCTGAGTTGAGCCACGCTGATGAGCAGGGCAAGGCAGTTTTAGTGTCTCCATAAAAAATGCTCCCACACACTCCCACAGTAGCCTTTGCTAGTACAGAACACACAGTTCCGGGGGTTCCAAAACTCTGCTCACAACGCCCGCGTGGTCAGCCTTTCCAGGCCAGTGACCCCTGTCAACCCCCGGCCTCACTCCCGCCCCCCACCCAAAGGGCGTGCGACACAGATACCAGACACAGCCCAGCAAAACAAGGACACTTGTTTTATTTCTGCTTTCTTGAGAACTGTTTCAAGGCACAAAATCTAGTCCAGAATCGAATCTGTCCCTTTGTCTGACTGGGGCTGGTCCTCCCACAGGGTCAGACAAACGGATGAAGTTTGTGGGCTGCTTAAAGCGTATGGTTTGTAGATACTGTAAAGTCAAACATTGCTTTCGGCTTTTGTTTACTGTACCCAGCCCCGAATAGCTTATGAGATCCACTTGGCCTTTGCTTTTTCTCCTCGTTCTTTTCATTCTCCCGCTTCTTTGCTCCCTGCTTTCCGCAGCAGTTGCTTCTCCCTTTGCCCACCTGCCCGGCCCTCCCTCCTGCGCTCTGCCTGCCACTGGCTGTCACCCTGCTCTCCCACTTCACCTCTGGCTCCCCTTCCTCCCTCTGTGCGGCTCACACTGCTCCTTGACCCTCTGAGAGGTGTCTGCAGCTGTTCCTCTCCTGCTTTCACTTCCAAAGCCTGCAGATGCGCCTCACTCGTGCTTGACTCCCCTGCCTCTCCCAGACTATTGTGTTTTCCCTCCCAGTACTCACCCAGGGGCCCTTTCCCTGCTTTTCCTCTAAAGGGAACACAGGGATCAGAGAACCGTAGAATCAGAGTCACAAGGGACACAGCTTATGTTACACTGGCAGTTGCTTCTGAGTCAGAAACTCATTTTTCTTCTCATATCACCTTCATCAATGGCTGCTCCCCCCGTCCCTCCTTAGAGCAGGAAGGGCTGGGGAAGAGAACCCCCCACCCCAGGTTCTCTCACCAACACTTTCACTCCAACCTTTTCTTTCCTGTCTCAGCACACGTGCACACACATGCATGCACGCGGAGGTCACACCCACTCCCACACATGCAGACAGGCAGGGTGCATACACCCTCGCACACACGCACACACACAGATATGCAGGATGCATGCACACATGCACACACACAAGGGTGCATGCACATACACACACGCACACACACATACAGGGTGCATGCACACACACGCATACACACAGGGTGCATGCACACGCACACACACACACTCCTTCTAGGTGCCCTCTGTGCAGACTCATTTGCTTGTAGGCTCCACTAAGGCCCTGAGCTTCCTCTGCAGTGTCTCTTCCTCCCAGCCAGGCTGGGAGCCCTAGGACACAGATTCTGGTTTGAGGTGACAAGGAGGGACAGTGGCAGTGGGACAGCTCCTCTCCCCAGGTACAGCTCTTGGGGGGAGGCCAGCAGTGGGTCAGCTCGAACAAGAAGCTTATTTCAAAGCCAGCTTCCGCCTGGGCAGTGTTCAATCAATCGATCAATAGCCGATGCTCTTGTTAAGTGGGCTTCTCTCCGTGCTACTGGGCAGGGCCTCTTCAAATCACAGAAGATCAAGAGGGAAAATGAAAAGAGCCCTGAAAACACGCCCTTGTAACCATCAAACGATGACTCTAAGCTGTGGCATTCTCAGCCAGGGCTTCCCCAGCACTTTATCTAGGACACTACTTTGCTTGCAGCTGGGGAAGCGGAGCTTACATCTGAGTAGCCACAGGGGGCTGTGAAAAACCCCTCGATTTCCCAGTGCCGGGCTCCTCACAGCGTGCCCGTTTCTCCATGTTGGAAACACTGTCTCCTGTCAGCCGCAGGGAACATTCATTTGAGGGACATGAACGTCCGGAAGGCCAGCCCTGCCCAGGCGGGTCTCTCCAGCACTGTGCTGCCTCTCCGCCCCAGCCCGCTCCCAGCTCAGACTTGCTCGGCTGCCTGCGGCACTGGATCGGCACTCGGTTCTCAATGCAGCAGTGCCCACCCCTCGGAGAGCAGGAGGAGAGCTGCCCTGCACCCGCTCCAGGGCAGCGGAGCTTGCACGTGAGCCAGGACCTGCCCCATCAAGTCCAACTCCACCCTGCTGTTCTGCGTCCAACGCCGGCCAGCGCCGGGTGTGGTCTCAGCTTATCTGCTCTCCGTGAAAATACCCAAGGCGAGGAGGAAGCGGTGTGAGCTCAAGGACAGGAGGAAGTTCCATTTCATTTCCCTGTACCCCCCACTCCGGCCTTCCGCACACCCCGGAGGGGAATAGACAGACAAGTATGAATATCATTCTCCACCCAAGCTCCTGTTCATACCAACTAATTAGCCAACCCAGTTGCCAATAAATTACTATTATAAAACATTGTGTGTGTACATAGGCATACATAGGTATACGTATGTATATGTAGTCATGCAGTCCAGCCTTTTTTCCTTGTCCGCTCTCTTGTGGGAAGCTTCAGACGAAAAGCCTCTGGCCCCCCACCCCCGGAAGGGTTCATCGCGTCATGGGTGCCACGTAGTTGGCAGGGAAGAGGCCCAGTTTGTTGTGCAGTCGGCCGGTCCACCAGGAGGGGTTGGAGCTATCCAGGACCTCGACCACCTCTCCGCTGTGGAATCCCAGCTCGTCGTCCTCGAGGGCCTCGAAGTCGTACAGTGCCCGGGCCCACCGCACTCGCTGTCGGGACAAGCACAGGGAGCTCTACTGAGCCGTGGGCCGGCCGGGCTCTCCTTGGAGCAGAGGGTCTGCTGGCTGCTGGCCGCGGCCACATCCTCCCAGAGCCCGGGACTGACCCCGCTGCAACCTAAAGTGCATGCAGGGGCACAGCCCTGAGCACGGGACTCAGGACTGTTAGCGACAGAGATGTTATTGTCCAAGGCCCCTAGAGAACCCTGGGGAATTACTCTTTCCACATCAGTAGGTGGTGTTTTTATTTCTTCAAGTGACAAACAGAATGGCAACATGCCCAGAATAATGGCCCCCCGTGTTAGTGTGATCAAGTCATGCGTGAAGATGGACCTTGGTGATAAAGACAGCGATAAAGAACTGCCATGAAGATGACAAAGACCAGAGCCAAGAACGATGACAGCAGGGAAGGCCGGACAGCCAGACTGGGAGCAGCGGGCCCCAGACCTCCCCACACCGTCACTCGCCGGCCACTCCCACCTGGAGTTTGAGCTCTGTGTGGTTCGGGTCTCTCCTGCCCTGCCTCCTCCATTGAACTCAGTCCCTCAGCCTTTCCCCCGGGAGCCTGGAGAGGGACAGTTCACCTACCCCTGCTGCTTGCAGCTGCACCGGGTCTGTGTGCCTGCGATGCATGAGGGCCGCGTTCATTTCGCTGCCCAGGCTGGTGCCACAGTGCCCGTCGTTTATGTCGAGGCTGCCTCCTCGGCGCTCCTAGAAACAGAGGCAGCAGAGGACCCGTCACCCCGCTGCCAGGCTCCCCCAGGGCACTGCTCGGATGCCATCCACACAGCCAGTATCCCAGGGATACTTGCTGCTCGCTAATGACGGCAGTAAACCCTCGATGACGGAGGGGAGAAGGAGGACCTTAGACGGGGCCTTAGACTCTGAAGGCAAAGAAGGCAAATGTGGGTTTCACTTATTCAGTCAAGAAATATCTAGCAGGCTCCGACCCTCTGTCCAGCCACTAGGGATATAAAGCTGCAAAGAGAAGGTCCCTGGCTTCGGGGCGCTTCTGTTTAGCGCGGGCACCGTGCACATGTACATGGTAAGTGATCAGGGAGAAGAGTGTCTAAGCCTGCTGGGGTAAGTCAGAGAAGGCTTCCTAGAAGAGGTGGTGCTTGCTCTCCAGCTTAAAAAAGGAGCAAGACTGGCCAGGGAAGGGCACTCGAGACGGAGGGATCAGCATATAAACAGCCACAAAGGCATGGGAGAAAGAGAAAACGGACCATTCAGGTAACTAAAGGTCGTGCAGGTCCCGGAATGCGTGTTTGCTGGGGAGAGCGGGGAGGGCTGGGGAAATAGACGTGGCAGCTCACACAGGCCTTTGTGTGCCCTGCTAAGGAATTTAGGAACGATGTTATCCGGCTGTATTGTTCCTCTCTGTAAGCCACCTGAAATCCCATCTGGACCAAGGTGGAGGGTAAATAAATAAATAAATAAATCAGCAAGGCTCCACGGTGGGTATTAATCCTTTTTTCCTGTGGATCTCGACATCCAGATGGGTTAAGGGGCAGGAATAGATTTAGAATTGTGCAGATAGGAGAATGAAGCAATTGCTCAGAGTCCTCAGGGTGAGAGTGAGTGCGTGTGTGCGTGTGTGTGCGTGTGTGTGTGTGTGTGTGTGTGTGTGTGTGTGTGTGTGTGTGTATTCAGGCATGGAGCCGTTTAATTTGCAGAGGCTTCTTTGCCAAGAGTGGTTTCCATATTTCTGCCACGTGGGGAGCCCAGGATCTTCTTCGTGAACTCCGTGAGACCTGAGGAGCCTCGGCCAGGCCTAGGGGGAGGGCAGGTCCTCCTTCCCACCCTCTCGAGCCCTCTCTACTCTTTCGGGATACCTGGTGAAAGTGGGGATGCTGCAGGTAGCGCTGCTGCGGCGGCTGCAGCGCCAGGGCGTACTGTAGGGGCGCCTGCTGGGGCTGCTGGGGCTGCGAGGCGAGGGCCGGCGGGTGGTCCGAGAGCTTCCGGTTCATGGCGGGCCGCATTTCCTCTCCCACAGCCCCACTGAGGTGGGGGCCTCCCTGGGACCTCCGGTCCAGGCTGTTGCCTCGGCGACCCTGGGAGAGTGAACAGAGATGCTTCCTGGATCTTTTGGTCCTACCCACACCTGGTAGTTGCTCCTAGACTTTGCTCACCATGGCTCCAAGGAACAGCTGGTGGGACGGGTTCACCTTAAAGAGAATGGATGGTTCAGACCTTCACACTCTCAAAAGTGGCTTCTCCGTTCTCAGATCCTCCCAGTGTTAGGAGTTCAGGTGTCTGGTTCACAGACACAGTACTGCTTGCCATGCAGTACCCATTCGTCCATTCCTAGTGGGCTTGTCTGTTTTTCTGTGTAATCAAGCTTAAGTATTCCATTTTACTGACAAACGCCACCCCTCCTTATCACATGTTGCCACACTGCTGGACATTCTACCCTCCAGATAAGCTCTGCTGTTGACTTTGCATGATTTTGAGCTGTCATTTATAGCCTGGTGACAGAGACCCAAACAGCAATGCTCCCACGGCACCATGGAAACCAGGCGGCCGCTGGGCATGCTGGGAAGGAGCAAGGCCTTTCTGCTTAACGTTAGAACAACCTCATGCATGAGAAATACTTTATTGTTATTTTTATTTGACAAACAATTACACAGGGCCCATGGGCTTAGTATATACCAGGCATTGTTCTAAGCACTTTACAAATATTAACTCATTTAATCCAGTTTAATGCAATTTTATATTGCCTCTCTTATCTCTGAACACACATCCTAGTAAGTTAATCTCTCTGTTTCCTGGTTAAAATAATTCACATGGTCTTGGTTAACCTTTGTTTTCCTTTCTGAACTTTTGTGTGCACTTGGCGGGGACACATTTTCTCCTTCGACAGTGACTTCTCAGGCTTAAAAGCAACCAAGGGCTTGCAAGGCAGGGTTTTCTGTTCTTCCCCAAAGCACATGTTGCTTTCACAGTCTTGGTGCCTTTTCAAATAACCTGTCCCTAGGATTTCAGCTATTTTTGTGAATGCTTCTTATAATACCTGTCTCTTATAACCATGTTATTTCCTTTGGAAAATAGTTATAAATTGTGTGTTTGTGAGTATGTGGATTTATTTATAGGAGGCAAGTTAACATTCCCTTAGTGCCAACTATGGGCCAGGCTCCGTGGCCATGCTTAGCTATATTATCTCATTTAATCCTCACAATGGCCCAGTGAGGGAGGTATTACCGTTCTCGCCATTCTACAGATGAGAAAACTGATACTCAGGAAGGTTTCTTAATTTTCCTAGGTAATAGAGGTAGTTAAGGGATTAAATCAGGATTCAGTGCCAGGTCTGTCTGATGCATTTTCTATTAAAACAATAGTCTATGTTCCAAACAGTTCCAAGAGCAAGAATTCCAGGCACAGTTTTCTTCTCCCATGTCCTCCCATCTCACCCCTACCCCAATCCCATCACAAAACTCTACCTGCTGCTTTAGTCCCGGACTCTAGGCTGCTCCTTAACATCCCTGTCTGTAGCCCCCTGACTCCTTCATCCTTGGTCAACTCAGGCTGAAAACCAGGATGTAGCAATGTCTATGAATAATAAGACAACGGGATCCACACCAAGAGCTAATATTTGTTGAGTGATTAGGAATGATGGAAGGGATGAGGATGAATTATCTTCTCCAGCCTTCACAACCACCCTGTGAAGTAGATAGCACCATTACCCCCATTTTATGGATGAGGAAACTGAGGATGGGAGAACTTTCCAAAGTCACATAGCTAGGAAGTGTTAAGCTGGGGTTTAAACTGAGATCTGACTTCAGAGTTATTCTGCCTTTCAGGATGCTCAGAGGGTCTGCCCATCAAATGCATTTTCTTGGTGGTTCACATGGAAACTCAAGCTGCCTAAAATCTCTAGATTGAGGTTGATTGGGACCTCGAGCATACCTGATCTTCTCGGGTTCTGTCCCTTAGGAATATCTGCTTCTGTTTGGAGATGGACGTCGTCCTGTAGTAGTCCACCAGCTTATTTAGGGATGGGAACTTCTCAGTCCACAGGAAGTAATTACCCTTGTTGTCTCGCATGACCTTGAAGTGCTGAACGTCATCCTCGTGCCTGGAGACCAAGGCAAACCCAAATTGTATGTTACATGGTGACAATGGCTCCCCCTCCAGGCTGCTTGCATCTAGAGATGGTGCAGTTCTGTTTGGGCAGGAAATGTAGACCTGGATCACTCATCACTGGGCAGGTGAGCTGGCCCAGCCACGCTTTAGCAGGTTTGCGGGACAGACCACTTAGGACATAGGCTACACTAGATTTTTACATTAGCACAAGGTAATCAGATAAGCTGAAATCTGTCCTGAACACTGGAACCAACCTTCTACAAGAAAGAAATGTTCCAGTGCCTTAAAGACTAAGAGATCAAAGTCCTTTTCACAATGTTTGTTTGAAATATGGCAACACCCAAGTCCTGTACTGTGTTAAGCCTGGTCCCCAACCTTTTTGACATCAGGGACCGGTTTCATGGAAGACAGTTTTTTCCATGGACCGGGGCTGGGGGGGGGGGCAGTTGGGAGGGTGCATCACCACCTTGGCTCCATCTCAGATCATCAGGCATTGGATTCTCACGGGGAGGTGCAACCTGGATCCCTCGCACACGCAGTTTGCGGTGGGGTTTGCACTCCTATGAGGGTCTGATGCCAATGCTGATCTGAGGGGGTGGGGCTCCAGCGGGGATGGGACCGACGGGGAACACCTGTGGGTGCAGGTGGGGCTTTGCTCCCTCATCACCGCTCACCTCCTGCTGTGTGGCCCGGTTCCTGGTGCTGGTCCAAGGCCCAGGGATTGGGGGACCGCAGGTGTTAAGGACTCAGCAGCAGAGGGGTTTTTCAAGCCCCATTATCTTTCTGTTAGAAATACTTTGAACCGTCTCCTTTAAACTATAACCATAAACTAGCACCGGCAGGTAAGAAGCTACTTGCTTCCCTAATAAAACCGTCATATTTATTCTCTACGTAATGAGGATCTCTTGATCTTGGTTTACGTTTTGCACAAATAAGGTTACAAAGTATTTTGAATTTTTGGGGAAAAAAGCGTTGTCTGGAATTGTAGAGTTTTAATTGGAAAGGACCTTGGAGACTGGGTAGCCTTACTTCTCCATTTTACAGATGAGGATGCTGAGACCCAGAGAGGTGCAGGGTTTGGTCAAGGTCACAGTGAGAGAGTGGTAGGGTTGAGGCAGGAACCCTGGTTCTCTGATTCCAGTCCAGTGAGCTTGTCATGCCACGTAAACATGCTATCTTATTTTTGATTAGCACCTTTTGATACCAGCCTGAACTCACAAGTGATGGGGCACATTCATACCAGGGCTGGAGAAATTGGATTTTATCCATCTGGGAAGGGTGGGCTGAGCCTTTGCTATTAGACCCACTCCTACTCCATTGCCAAGTCATGCTCTTTTGGATGTAAAGTTTATTTTTCAAACAAACATACATTTCTATCTAAAAATAAACTGGCACTAATGATACCAATTGCCTGATCTAGAAGAAAGGTCAAGAATTTAAAGGGTCTTAGAGAGTAAAGATAACCCTGAAGGTAAGTGGAGGTTCTTGGGGATGGATTTAGGATCTGTGTTCAGAAGGTGACAGAAACTCTGACCCTCAGTCTCATCCTACGTGCTGGGCTCTGCTCATAGCTGGGTGAGGCTAAAGGTCGTGCAGTAACCTCTTGCTTGATTGACGTGAGGTAGTAATTAACACATTGCATTCACTGCACGGTCCTCCCCTTTGCTTTTGGACACTAACAGATACTTTCTTCACTCTAAGACTCCATGGCTCAACTCATAGTCTGGGCGAGGAGGAGGAAATAGTCTTGTGATATTATAATTATTCATCTATCACTTCGTAGTCAAAGAACTTAGAGTGTGGAACGGTATCCATTTCACTCTTGTAAGCCGCAAGGTTGAATGTCAGGGTTGCAGTTGGTCATCTTGGTCTATGGAGAGAAAATGGCCTGACCATTGTCTCAAGTCCTAAGAGAGACAAGAAAAGGATGTAACTCAGGACTCTAGACTCCAAATTCTAGTGTTTTAGGCCCTTACCAAATGCTAAGTTATAGGGCTACAATTAGCTCTTAATTATCTGTGCCCATGACAGAAAATAGATGTGAAAATAAATAAAAATGATTTTTCTTTGGAACATATGATACTGCATTCCTGCAGAAGATGTGACAGTGAGGATGGTGATCATCACAGAATGAGACGCTGCATCGCCTCGCTATCGGGGAAGACTGCAGAAGTCAAGCCTGTTTTGTAGAATTCACTCTAATAAAGGAGATATAAACCATAATTCCCAGCTGAAAAAGCCAGAGTCCTCTTCATGTAAACCAAAGGCACCAAGAGATGCCTTTCAATCTAACAAATTACTTGGTCCAGTTTATGGTGGGGATGGGGGTGGGGAGGGGGCTTAGGAAATAGGTTTGACTTGTAAGATATATTAAGAGAGCAAAATTTCATCAATGAAGACCTAACAAGTTCAGAATTTGTGATACATCAATATTGGCCTGAGCTAAAGTTTACCATCACCCAAGCTGTGAAAAAGAAAATTTCCGTTAGAGAAAATTGAGAATTTAAGCAAGTTTGCAAAGGCAACGCTAAAGGGACCAAGTGATTTTCAAGCACCTTCGAGGCACGTGTGCAGCCAATGGCTGACCCGTTATTTGTAAGTCTTTCCTGCCTGTCCTCTAAAATATTCACAAATATTCATTCTTTCTAAATAGCAAAGTGGCCAGTGTTTATTACCTGAGATTGGATTTCTGTTCTTAGGACAAGTAAAGCTGCATGCTTTATTATTCATATATTGAATAATCCAGATCAGCACTTCCTGTTAATAACTCCACGGTAAGGTTTTTCGGTGCAGTTTGTCACGCCTCCTACTAATCTGCTATCAGCATTATTTCTCGTACTTTCACATGTGGTCACCAAATCTAAGGCGTGACTTGCAATCCCCAACATGCTGACCACACGCCATGCGTTCAGACTTGGGGCTTCTGAGTTTGGGGCTGTGTAATGTCTATGCCTGGACTGAGTCACTTCCTCCCAGGTGCTGCACATGAGAGAGATTTCGCTGCGACAGCCCCCAACCCTTGGCCCTCCTTGGCTCTGCTGTTTTCACTTTTGCTGGATTGTACTGTGTCGAGGTAGCCTTTCTTTGTGTTCAGCTGCCTGTGACTGTATCCGTATTTGCTGGGGCTTAGAAAATGATACCCCTTCTCATGCTGAGTACTTTGAACCAAAGGAGATCGGAAGGCCTCAGAAGTGGCCTCAGAAGCAAAGTCTCCCTCTGACCTTCTCCTGCCCTCTTTCTCTCCCAAAGCGAGTCACAGAAACCAGAATTCCTCTTCCCCAAGGCGGATCATAGAAACTAGAACCCCTCTCCTCCAAAGCAGGCCACAAAATCATAACTTTCCCTCACCTTTCTGTGTAGGAGCTGGCCATAAAGAAATTCTCTGACCGACCTTGTCTGACAGTACGTCCTAAGACCTTGTTCCAGAGGGGTCCTGCCCTGGACCCAGGAGGAAGGAATGCCACAGAGAGGCCGAGAGGAATCTGAACGGCCGGGCCTTGCTGGGCCTCCTCGCCCGGCCTGTTACCAGCAGATCACACCCTTTCTGTCCAGTCACATTTCCACATGGCTGTCCGTCCTTTATCACAACTAAGCATAAAAATAGACAGTTTCCCCTGGGTCTTTGGGTCTTCATTTTTGAAGGCTCTCTTAATCAAACAAAACTTTGATTAAATAAATTCATTATGCTTTTCTCTTGTTAAACTGTCTTTGTTTGGGGAGGGTGGGCTGTGACCCCTACGCTGGGGAGGAAAGGTATCACCCCTTTTCCTCCCCTGTATATCCTACAGCAAGGACTGGGGATTCTATTTTTCTCTTACCCTTCTTCAGACATACATCAGTAGTAAAAGAAAAGCTTAAGATTCAAGTCCCCAAGTGGATGTGGACGAGTGGAAGTTCTCCGTCCTTCTTCCTCCCCTCCTTCCTTCCACAAACACTCACTCTGTGCCAGGCACTGTTAAAGGCACAGAGATGAAGTAGAGAAAATTCCTGCTCTTCCAGAAACGTCTGGGCTGCGGGGAAGGCAGATGAACATATAAATAATTTTGAACACAAACCAACGTCCTAAAGAGTTACGTATGCACCTTCTGGGAAGGAAAGGGATAGTACCACCGTTGTTAGATGCTGCCATACTTGGTCTCCTTGGCTACCACGCTTCCGATCACTGGGTCACGTTCAGAGGTCACCACTTGGCTTCATCAGTTTGGGTAGTTATAGATGAGAAGGGTGGTGCTGGGAATGGCCAGTACCTGACTGAGATGGAGAAGTCCCCTGGGGAGCTCTGGCTGGCCCGGATGATGAAGAAACCAACCTCCTTGCCCATGAGTAAGTTCTCTGCCTGGTGTCGCGAGAGGCCTTCGTGAAACCATCTATTGGGCAAGATAAAAGAAGAGGATCTGGGTGAGACACGTAAGGGGCAGGAGGGAGACACGGAGAACAGGTGACCCAAAGGGAGAGAGGTGGGGACTCTGTTCCGTAGAGAGCAGAGAGAGACCAAAGAGGGGCCAGGTGCTTTTTGAAACCAAATCGACGCTCTAGGCGGTTCTCAGGAAAGGCAAGTGAGTTCCCTTGATTCACTCTTTGTTCCTTCCCTCCAGGAGAAGTCACTCTCCGGCTTGGAAAACCTGAACGTGGAACTGCGCCGCTGCACCAAAATGGGGCAGTGTGGGAGCGACTCGCTGTGGGGAGCAGCCGCCTGTCGCAGCTGCACGAAGGGCAGAGAAGAGCTGCAGGGACAGAGAAGCACAGGGAGGGAAGGGGCAGCTTTAGGCGCTGGGGCCACCAGGCTGAGAGTGGCTGCTCCTCCCCAGGGCACTAAAGGAGAGTTACCCTCCTGGGGGGTCTTGCTCCCTGGCTGGCATGCTTTGCTCAGTGTGCCCAGCAGAGGCTCCGAGGCACCCAGGAGCCCTGCATATACGTGTGGAGATGAGTGGGGCTGGCAGCAGCCAGCGAGCAGTGTCTACACAGCAGCTGGGCCCTCCCCCCCAAATCCAGGCTGGAAAATAATCTTTGCGGTGCAAACAAACAAAAAAACAGAGGAAAAACTGCTCTTCCAGGAGAACGGTCAGGGTGGCAGCCTCTGGAAGTATTGCTGCCCACGGCACGGCATGTATGAGAAAGTCAAACACTTACACAGGGCAAGGCAAACAGTGGCTACAGGCTCAGGGCAGGAGGCCAGAAACCTCTCTCAACCACAGACGAGCAAAATGAGTGTTTGCAATCATTCAGTGGCCAAAGGTGGGACTGTGTCACATTGCTTCAAGGTGGCTGCTCTAATTGCTGCCACCAGAAGGCTAGTACTCACGTCCCTTTAAGATAAATGCCCAACGGGCCTAGGCTTTGGGTTTCTCTGTGAGCAATTCCTTTGCTTCCTAGAATTTGGGAAGGTGGATTCTGAGACAAGGGTAGCAGGAAGGACGTGCTGATTCCAGACCTGGGACTGCAGGGGAAGGTTGGCTGTGCTTTGAGGGGGCCGAAAGCAGGGGTTCCTGGTGCCAACGGATCCTGCCGGAGTAGTTGCCACGCGCCCCTACAGGGCAGAGCAAGTGACCACCACGGCATTGCCATGTGCAGGAAGATCAGAGGGATGGGAAGAGGAGCGGACGCACTCCGCAGCAGCCGGCCCGCAAAGGAAGTATTTTAGAAGAGGCAAAGGGCAGTTAGGGGAATTTAGAAAATAAACATTTTTCCTCCAACTGGAATTCGATAAGTGGCTTCTTTCAAGACTTGCAAAAATTTCCACATGCTACATATTAGACATGAGTGGCCAGGGGATCAGTATTACATATCATTCCAAAGCTTTTCATTCATTCGCTTAACAGCTTTATTGAACGTCTACTATTGTGCCTCTTCTGGGCACTGGGGACACAGTGATGAGCAGAAGAGACAAGCACCCCGCTCTCAGGGAACTTACATTCTGGGAGGGGGGGTCATGCAATAAACAAAATAATTAAAACATAAGTGTGTCACGCGATGACGAGTGCTGTGGAGAAAATGACAACAGAGAGGACGGACAGGGAGTGGGGGTGGGAGAGTAATTTAAAATATGGTGACGAGAAACATGTCACAGAGAAGGGGATATTCTGAACCTAAGGAGATTGGAGAGGAGGAGGAACCCACAGAGAGATGGGGAGGAGCCATCTGGGGAAGAAGGGTGTCCCCAAGCCCAGGAAGAAAGTGTTTCAGTGGGAGGGAGAAAGCCCCAGGTCAAGTCTGCTGAGAATGGGGACCTGTGGCCCCCTGGACAGGAATGTCAGGCCTAGGAGGAGTAGGAAAAATCGAATGCAGCCTTCTTTTGAAGAAATGGAATGTGGCTGGGAGGGAATTTGAGATCAAGTGGTTTTGTTTTGTTTTGTTTGTTTGTTTTTTGGTAAACTGGGAGAAATTACAGGCATGTTTGTTTGCTGATGGGAATGACCCAGCAGAGAAGGAAAGAAAGTTAATGTGGGAAAGAAGGGAGAATTTCCGCTAGCAGCACCGACAGTTCCTTCCAAACAGCTGCAGGGAAGGCAGAGAGTCTGAGCACAGTTACAGGGGGTGGGCGGATGCGGTAGGGGTGGGGGCAGGGGATGGGGAGTTTCCCTTTGGGTGGCTTTCACTGTCCCAGAAAAGCTAGAGGCAAAGCCATGGGCTGAGAGTGAGGTGGGGGCAGGTCGGAGGTGTGAGGAGCAGGGAAGGCCATGCGGTCACCTAGCAGATTATTGGTAGCATCAAGGGCACGGTCAAGGTCAGTGGTCATTCCACTGTCTCCTGGTCAGTACTAGTTCACCATGAGTGCTGCCGTTGCGCTCACTGCAGTCACCAATACCACTTTGGTTTCCAAACAAACTTTTGCTCTTTGGGCTAGACCCTGGCTCTGAGACAAGATTAGATTTCTATCTAACCCTTGTGGTCAATTCTTAAGACACAGGAGACCCAATCTCAATTTTTCATTTCCTCTTTATGAAGGGAATTCCCCTTCCCCCCACTGACTTCTCTCACTGGAGTGAGTGTGCTTTAAGGAAGGCAGGAAGTGTCCGTGCTCCCACCCGATGAAGGGTGGAGAGCCTGGCTAGCTGCAAGGTGGGGCTGGGAGGTGATGGAGGAAAGCCTTGAAGTAGCAGCTCTTGAAGTAGGGTAGCCGACAGTGCCCCCTTTGCAATTCTTGGAAACCCTGTGATTGCAATCACCGTAGATGATATGAGTTTATAAACTTATTGTACAAAAATTTAAAATCGGCAGTACATGTACATGGTGTGAAATTCAAAAGGCAATGAAATAAAATGCAAAATCTCCCTCCTGCCCCGGCCTTCGATGTGTGGTTCTGGAGGCTCTTGGGAGAGAGCTCCAGAGGCAGCCGTGTTTGACGGTGGCCTCGGTACGCACGGTAATTCTGGTGACCGCTGACAGAGGGAGAGGACTGTGTGTGGGTAGGGCCGGTCCCAGCGGGCTGCACGTACTTACTCAGGAAACTGGATGTCTATGAAATTCTTAGGCACATATCCTTCTTGGCTCCCGAGCTCCGCCTTGAACCACTCCTCTTGGTTACTTAAAATCTACACAGAGGAGAAGGAAGGACAAAAACACTGCAGGGACAATACCAGAAAGCAAGAGGAAGGGGCTGCAGGGCGAAGAAGGGCCGTCGGACTTAGGGGGAAATAAGCCAGAGGAACCAAACAGCTGCCCTGCGACTTTCCGGTCTGGGGCAGTGGGCTTATCTTTGGAGTTTGGCTTTTCTCAACCCCGAGTTATTTCTGTCCACTTGGGCCACCCACTCGTGTCACCCCACTGTGACTTGGCCTCCCAGACTCGGCACTCAGGGACTTCCCAGGATTCCCTTGTCCTTCTATCTTGGAAATTCATTTGTCCCAGATCTTAGCACCTTAAGTTCTCCCTCTGAGCAGACGGTGGGAAAGCAAGAATGGCTACTCCACGATGGTTTTGTTTCTTTTTCTCTTCCAGGTAAGCAGGGGATTTTTAAAAATTTATTTTGTTTTTATTTTTTAAACAAGCAGATTAAAACTTAAACAATCCAAGTGAGGCCAGTGTTGGAAACAGTAACTGTGTGTGTTTCACCAATCGTTTGGATTGAACTCAAGGGACTTGGGTTGCCTTTGCTAAACTTGCTCTTAGAGCCAGATCAGAAGCAAAACCAAACGTTCTGTCTCGTTACTCTGTGGTCTTACCTTGACTGTGACCCCACGTGTTATCGCCTATCTTGATTACTCCTATTACTCACCAGGCTTGACTCTATGTAGCTTCTGGTTATTTCAGAAAATGAGATTCATTTACATTAAAAGACAAATGTTTGCCACCCCCGACTGAGAATGTTTCTAAGTCTGCCACAACGGAGAGTTGCAGAATAATTCTAAATGAGGACGACGGCAGATCGAACGATAGGAAATGTCATCGGGCCACTGAATAATAAAACACCCAGGAGCCCTCCTACTTCTGGACTTTGAGAAATTATGCGTCTTCGTTATTGTTTAAGCCATTTTTAGTTTCTGTTTCTTGCAGCCGAAAGTCTCTGCACTGGTAGGAGTACGATGAGAAAAGGGAGAGCAGAAGTGGACAGGAAGGACTTCTTGGAGGAGAACGACCTGCTCTGTCAATGAAAGGAGTTAGTTACTCAGATGCAAAGGAACTTCCTCTTTCTAGGATCCGAGGAGGGAACTGACACCCAGCGTGGCTGGGGTTTAGACGGTGGATCTAGGAGGAGAGACAGGGGAAGCCAGGCAGACGCACAGGCCTCGTGGCCCAGGCGGGAGAGTTTGAATTTTTATCTTGAAATTTATGGGGAGCCATGAAAAGACTTTAAGCAGGGAAATATCAGTAAGAATTAGAGCTTGAAAGAGTTCTGTGTCAGTGTGAAGACAGATGAAGGGCAAAGTCGGGAGGGAAACCAGGAAGTCGAGTGTAGCCCTCCAGGCAAGAGATGGGGGCGGGGGCAGGATTTCATGACTGTTCTTGGGAGCTACAGGAGAAGGGATTTCTGGCTTGGAAGACTGAGTGGGTGGTGCTGCCTTTACAAAGTAGAAAACACAGGAGGGGGCAGGCCTGGGGAAAGACCCCTGGACTTCACATGGCAGCGGAGGATTTGAGTTGAATTCTCAGCTGAGCAGGAAACCTCAGGGGGCAGCTGGATATGTGAGTCTGCAGCCAGGAGAGAGGTTGGGGCTGGAGTCTGGGATTTCAGAATCATCTGAAAGTGGGTGGCGCTGAAGTCATGGGTCCCTTGGGTTTCTCTCTCCCGAAGAAAAAGATGGAAAGAGAATTGAAAGAGAACTAAGTACTCGAGAAGCAATGACGACCTATTTCTAACATCGCTCCCAAGGTGGAAAGAAGACAGAGCTGAGAGTTTGGAACGGGAAGACCTGGTTTCTAGCTCGGTTCTTTCGCTAGCTGTATGACCTTGGGCGAGTCAATTAGCCATTTGAAACTTGGGGACAATAATAACCACCTAGCGCCTCACGGAGCCGGTGCGAAGATCAAATGAGCCCTGGAACCTGAAAGTCCTTCAGAAAGTGTGGACTCTTTTTTAAAAAAATATAATTCCATCAAATGTGATATTCTTATGAGGGAGGACTGCAGCTCTGAAGGACATGGAAGGGTTTATAAGTTCTTTAAAGCATTATATGTGTATGTTTTGAATTTAATCATTTGTTCTGAAGAAATAAAAGTGTGTCCCATATTTGAGTTCGAGATTGCTGAGAACAGAAAACTTCATAGTTTTTGACATCAAATGTGACTGTTGGTATCACCGAGGATGTGTGGCTATGTGTGTGCCGACGGGGGAAGGGGAAGGCCGAAAATCTAGGTCAAAAGAGCTAGGAAACTGCGGCAGCCACACAGAGAACACAAGGACATTTCACTCCAGCATGAACTCACGGCTGCAGAATCCCTTTCTCCCATCACGTGGGAATGTGGCATTTGGCCAGGGTAGCCCGTGTCAAATGCAAAAGCGAGCAGGGATGAGGGGAAAGAGGCCATTTGGAAATTGGCCTGTCACAGGAAGAGCCACACTCTGTGCTTTGTTCTCTGACCTGAAACCAGCTGTAATTTTAGTAATCACGGCTCATATTCATCCACCTCCTCTAGACACTGAAAGATTATCCCACAATGCCAGCCATTTCTCTCCACCACCTGCTGCCTGTTCTACCGGAGATTGTGTTTCCTGAGAGGTGAATTTACAGGCTTTTTACGGGGTAGAGAAGGTGAGGTTTTAAAAAATCTCATTTTCTGTAAAGACAGGTATGGGGGGAGGGGAGAGGTGGTTTCCTCCTGCCGTTGGGCCCAGGCCCCGCACTTCCTGCCCCTCGGTCTATCTCTCCATCTGTTCGGTCCCCCTATCTCTCGTACCCATCGCATAAACCTGCGAGGAGTTCAGCCTGAACACTTGAAGTTTTACACTTAAATTTACTGTACCCTGATTCTTATAATGTTCCCTGACAGAATAATTTTCTGGGTTACATGGCCTGAGAATAAGTTAGATGTGGGAAGAGAAGGACCAAAAGTACAGCTGGGAGGATTTTTAAATTGGATGGAATTATAGCTCCTGGCGGCACGACAGAAGGATTGAAGAAGTTGATTACGTAGAATTAACTCTTAGTGCTTTTAGGTTGCTGTTTTAGTAGGAAGAAATGTGGGTGAGTTAGATGCATTATAGAAGCAGATAGAAATGGACTGGGTCAAGAGACATTTTTCAAAGCTACTGACAAATTCGATGGCAAATTCAAATGTTAAGTCTCGTGCCGTTTGTAGCTGCAGCTGCAGAGGTTTGTGGCATGAACAGAAAAAAATCTGATTCCTGACTTTTCACATATTTCCCTTACAGGAGAAGTGGGATCAAGTCATTTGGCAGGAGTTCCCTGTCTACCATCTTGTTTACCGTTCCGTGCAGATCAGCATCTAGTGAGCACCTGTTGTTTGCACTTAGGTGCTGGCAATGTAGAGATGAATAAGCCAGGCCTTTGCCCCGAGGAACTTGAGGTCTATTGAAGGTGGGTGGCTGGTGAGCTAGTCGGATATTTTTTTGTGCCTTTCTAAGGAAGGACGCTGTGTAGTCGTTAGCACTAAAGACCAAACAAGAGACAGAGCATGCCAGAAGTGAATTGCTGGAGCAGTGAAGAGCTGGCTTTGGAAATAATCATGAGGATCCTGGGTGTGTCACCCACCTGGAGAGGGGAGGGCAGACATTGCAGCCGCATGTGGGAGCCCCAGGCACGGGTACCAACCACCGTCCACAGACATCCGGGAGGCTCAGGCAACAAGCCCTCTCCATTTTTCTCTTTATCACTACGGCTGAACTGGATGGACTTTGGAGAGAGGGAGGGGGTTGGCTTTTGGATGGAATTCTAAATGAGCACACAGAAATGCAATTTGCAATTCAAGAAACATGTACTGGGCACCTATTTGGGCCATGACTTGTGTCAGATGCTGTGAAGATACAGAAGAACCCCACACGACTGTGCTCTCAGGGAGCTCGCCAGGGGAGGAATTAACAGTTCATTCATTCATCAAATACTAGGGAGTTCTAGACACTGAGGCAGACACGGCCCCGCCCTTGCAGAGCTTTGGCCAGTGGAGTAGTCAACACACAAACCGGCAGTTAGGACCCCGCGGGGTAAGGGCAGCGCGAGAGATGGAAGAGGAGGTGTGTGAGACCATGGAGTCGCGCCCGCCCATACATAGCTGTCACGGGAGGCAAGGCCATCAGTGCCTGGAAATGAGTGAGGTGTGTGTCGGATGCTGGGGAAGAGCTGAAGAGGGAGGGATTCATGTTGCTGGGGTGGCGGGCGGCGGGGAGGGTCAGCGAGGGTTCCAGGCAGAGAAGGTGGTCGAACGTGCATGCAGAGAAGGGCACTTGGAGTATGGATGGTGGAGAACCTGAGAGAGGCTGGTGTGTGCGCTGCAGTGTGACCTGGGGGCATTGTGTCTTCAGAGATGTGTGCGTGCATGTGTGTGGGCTGGAATTCAAACTCACATCTGTCTGGCTCCAAAGCCTATGCTCCTCTTTACTGTAACACTCTCCTTTCTAGTGAAGAAGGGACTTGCTTGAGAGATACCATGAAAGGAGAATATTCAGAGCCGAGTACAGCGCTCAGGAGTCAGACAGAGCTCCCTCCGGATCCTGGCTCGGTCACATTCTAGCTGCGTGACTTTGGACACGTGATTTTACCCCCGCCTTTGTAAATGGAGGAAAAATTAGTGCCTGCCTCACAGATCTGCTGAGATGATGAAATAACATTGCAGACCACTTAGCCACATCCCAGCCCGACAGGAGCAGCTCAGGCCATCTTGGTTACTGATCACCGGACTTTGGCAAGGGAGGTGCCGATGAGAACTGAGGCTTCTATCCTGGCGAGTGACCTGTGACAATACTTAGAACGTGGATGCGGAGTAGTTTGGCAGAAGTAGGGGTGAGGATGGTGTGGGGCATTTGAGTGATTCTGGACTTCACGAGTTAGGGGCTGGCATCTGTGTGGTGACAGCAAACGGACAATTGGCAGCGCGGCTCTGGAGTGCAAGAGAGGTCAGAACCAGAGCGAGAGCCACACACTCGAGGGTCTTTGGTCCAGAAATGAGAGCTGAAGCCAGAGCCGGGGTGAGATGGCTCAGAGTGAGGAGAAAAGTCAGAAAGCCAAGGGCAGAACCTTCAGGGAAGCATATATTTCAAGTCAGAAAGAGAGGAAGCGGGGCACTTAAAAATGAGACCCCCTAGGAGTGCCCAGGAAGGGAGAAGAACCCAGAGAGGGTGGAGCTGCCGACGCAAGGCGGGAAGAGCTCCCGGGAGAGGCAGAGTGCGGAAGGCTGCAGGCTACAGGCGCTGCCCAGGGCCGTTACATGGTGCATTAAGGAGAGCACTGGTGGACTTAAGGAGAGTGTCGGGGTGAAAGGTGGACTCCAGAGAGTTGCAGAATGAATGGGAAATGAGGAAGTGGAGAGTGCCCAGTACAGAGAATTCTTCCCAGTATTGGCAACAAGGCAGAGGAAAGAAATTAGGAGCTGGATTGGGAAGCAGAGTTGAGGAAAGTTTGTTTTTTTTTTAATGTTTCTGGGGAATAGAGAAAACTTAAACAAGATATTAGGTTCTATTTGCAATGGAAGATAAGGATGGGAGTTGGCCCAAGGATGCTCTAGAGGGGTTGACAATCACACGATCACAATACCCCATAGAGAAGGGAGGAACTTCTCACTGTGGCAAGTCCCCCCAGGACGCTGGTAGATCAAAGCAGTGAAGGCTGCCTTTTCCTGGGTCAGCAGCCCAACCAATATTTTAAGCTTGTGAAGGCCTACGCTTTGCCACCACTATTCCTAGAACGCGCAAGCTGAGAGCAGTTAGAAGGCTACACACTGGGCATGTTCAAATTCCAAAAGAAGCCGTTCTAAGTGTTTTGTGGTCAGTGGACACTTTCCAAGTCACCCTCTCACATGCTGAGAAGGTTTTCTCTGGCAAGCAAGATTCCCGTGGTGAGACCATGCTGGCCATCTGGGCTGCTGAGGACCAGGGAGTGGGCTGCCTAAGGGTGCTCTGAGGTCAGGCAGGGGCATTGGCTTCACATACTTCCAAATGGCCTCTTGAAGGGCTTGTGCTCTTTTGCAAAAAAACAAGGATTAAGAGTCTGTAAGTGTGGTGTGTGAAACGTGGGAGAAGTCCAAGGCCACTTCAGCTCAGCAAGTGGCCACTACAACTGAAGTGTGGGCTGAAGACAAGTGTTAAGAAGCCCCTGAGTGGCCGGGTGTGCATGGCCTTCATCAAGCCACATCCCTTCCGGCTGCCTTTCCCACACCCTCGTCTCCTAAGTTCCGGCCACACTGAACCTGGCAATGCTCTCTAAATTCAACACGCGCTTGCACAACTCTGAGCTTTCATTCAAAGCCCATGTTGCACACATTCCGACAACCCTCCATCTTTCAAGGTGGCATCATTGGTTCCATCACCTGTGCTCTTTGAGCACTGAGCCAAGAGTAGCATCTGTAACAGACGTTTGGATGGATGTGTTTCCCCCTCCAGACCACGAGTGTCTCAGGACGAGGATGGCGGCTTATGTTGACTCCATTTCCATCTCCTGGCCTGGCGTGTGGCACACAGGTGCCCGGAAGAAACCCTTTGTTTAGAGGTGAACTTCTCTTTTTAAAAGGAACCAAGTGCAGTTCTTAAGAGACAAAGGCATGGATTGTTAGATTACTTTAGTGGCCAGACTCAAGTAACCCAAACTCTTTACTGCTCCCCTGGGGCCCCATGGCACCTACCTTCAGAACATCTCCGGTGTAAAAGCTCAGTTCGTCCTCACCTGAGGCAGTGAAATCAAACTTGGCGACAGCTTCCATGTTGTCACGTGAAGCTGGAAGAGAAATAATGTGGTCATTGTGCCTGTCTGCCAGGAGGAGGGCAGCAGAGCCCACGGTGCTGCCTCGCAGTCTGAGCAGCTCATAGGAGAGTGGTCGGATGAGTGTCTCCAGGCCAGAGAGCAAGACTCGGGCGCAAAGAGAGGGCTTGTGTTTGCCGGAAGAGCTGCTGGAATCCTTAGGATCTGGGTCCCAGGATCATTCTCTAAATCCCCGAATGCCAGGAGCAGGAAGTGAAAGCCAGCGACAGCCTTTCCCCTCTCCTTTCATCTCCCCGTGCTGGTCCTGGCCTGACACCACTTCTGGGGGCATCTGTTTCCCGCTGATAAGGAAGGAAGGCTTGCTATCATCTGTAACTTGAGGCCCAGGGGGCTGGAAAGACTATTCTGTAAACACTGTCCCGAGTCTATCCCTTGGCAGCTATATTTAACCAGGCGGTGTTAATTAGACAGATGCCATTTCCTCTTTTACATCTGAATCATTTTAGAGAATTAGACAGCATTAGCCATTGGGGAACTCAGCTTCCTTCTGCATGGTTTGAGAGTAGAAAGCATTTTGGTCTGAGAGTTGGGAGATTTGATTAGTCTGATTACTTATTTTATTATTCGAGTGTAAACCAAGTACACTTTGGAAACTTTGATTTTAATAGTTTTGAATTGAGTTAAAATACTGGCCCCCTCCTCATAGACCTGTGTAAAGATAAATGAGTCAGCCCACATTCTACATTGAGTAGGAAATAGAGTTACTTTTTAGGAGACTGTAAGGACAGAATAGCAAGAGAGCTGGCTTGAATCCTCGTGCTCTTGGTGAATATCTATATAATCTTGGGCAAGTAATTAAGCCTCTCAGAGTCTCAGTTTCCTCATCTGTAAAATGGAGATCATAATATTCAGCTAATAAAATTGTGAGATTAAATTTGATAATAGATACAAAGCATTATATAAGATAAAGCTAAATAGTGTTTACGTTTTAAAGTAATTTTATGGAATGAATTTTTCCCCCAGCAAAGGTAGCCTGAAACACACACGTTTTCTTCTGAGCCTCCCGTCTCCTATAAACGTTTCTTATTGAAATCTGATGCTTGGTCTCCGTGACCATCAACTCCCGTGACTCTTTGCTGAGACAGCTCACTCTCAGGACAATCTTGAAAGCTCTTGTTTGGCATTTATGGTTTTCAAAGTTTCTCTGTGTCTGAAACCCTCTGAGTTAGTTTATCAGTACCCTCAAACCTAACGGACTTTCAGAGACCAGTAAACTAGGACCAAATCGTTCTCTCAGTGGGAATTTCTGCTCAAATAGACAGGATTTGGGTAAATAAGGAAGGTGCCGCTGGTGGGCGCGCACAGCACCAGGAGACTGGAGGATTACAGCCACCTGCAAGGCGCTCGTTTCTCTGATCCTCCACACGTGCTTGGTCTTCCAAAGGTAATTTGTAGAGGTGAATATTACACATCCAAAGGTAGATATTAAGCAAAAAATAGCTTAAGAGCCAAAGTAAAATGTCATAGTTAACTCTCTGAGCTTTATCACCAGTCAAAACTTATTTCCAAACAACAACAACAACACAAATATACTTTTTGCACACTTTTTTCAAAATCTGTCCATCTAAGGCAAATTAGAATTTCTGTGACCGAGGATGACCCAGTTGAGAGGAAGGAGTATTCTGCCCTCCTTAGTTAATGCTGAATGCCTTTGCCGATTCGATTCACCCCATTACTTTAACATGCAAGGCTTCTCCTAATTAAGGACTTGTGTCTAGTTTGCAGGGAGATGTGGCTTCTGTGGGTCATCCTCATGGTATCAGCAGTAGACACTGGTCACCTCAAGGGATCAAGTGTCAGGTGAATGGTCCTGAAAACCAAGATCCCATTTCTATGCAAATTTACCTTAATAAGCAGGACAGAGACAAGGGGAGGGCAAATGCTAACCATATTAGAAAGCTACATAAATTAGAGATGAAAAAATGTCCAAGACATGCTCTAGATATGACCTTGATTTGGGGAAGATCTTTCCAACATGACATGTAGCTCAGCTCAGGCCCAGGCGCTAGGTCCAGGCTGGCTGTAAATGACTTCAGTGAGGTGGCCAAAGCAGAAGTAAAATTGCTTCTGAACAGAGGCACTTTTCTCTGCCTTCCCCAGGAGGCAGGCGGTGTGGCCAAGCCAACCACACAGGCATATCACAGAGCTCCCAGCTTATGGTATTAATCCTGGCTCAAAAAACCCAATTAAACAGGCCCACTCTTCATGAAATCGCTTGGAAAAAATTTGTTTGCTCCCATTTCCATTTGCGAAATGAAATCTGCTCAGGCTGCTGTTTATTTAGGGTGGGGTGGGTTATGTTCTCTTTTCATTCAAATCACGGGGCTTCAAAAACTCTTCCCTTGAAACACCCTAATAGCAGAGAATGGTAAATATGCCATCCCCAGGGGTTGGTCTTCTGTTTGATCATAAAAATGCATGCAAATCTATATCCCATTTCTATATATCCATTAGTGTTAATTTTGAAAAGTTTTAAAATTACCACCAGGGAAAAAGAGACCTGAACTAGTATAGTTTATTCAGTATTTATCCATTTGTTTTATAAGCTGTACCTGCCTATAAAACTACAGACTGCATCTGGGAAACAAAAAAATATGATGGCGATAAAAACTGGGTAGCAGCAAGTCAGAGAGGGAGAGGGAGTTGCTTGGGGAGAGAGAAGGCGCAGCAGCCTGAATTCAAGAGTGCAACGGAGCCTTCTTGCTACTGCTTGCAATTTCCATGCTTCTGACCTCTGGGGGAGATGAAGAGAGAGACCTCTCTTCAGAGAAACTCACGGATGGATTAAATGTGTTTCCCTGCCAGTGATGGGCTTTAGAAATGGCTGCAATGCTACCTGCCATACAGCGTGAGAAGCTGCAGCCTCCAGGGTCAGCCAAGCCACCCCCAGCAGCGCCGCCCCCACCGTGCCAGGCCCGTGGATGCTGCCAGTTGTCGGCCCTAGTGTTTGCTCTGCTTCTCACCAGCTCTCTGCGGCTCTCTCACTCCCCCCACTTATGAGTTGCACAAAATATCCATTAGCAACCCGGCGACACAGATCTGCTTCACCACAGGGTAATGCCACACAGGACTGCCCTGACATGATTTTCTCTGCCCTTGCATTTCCATGTAAGCTTCTTTTACCATCAAAAAGCCTGAAAAATATTCAGGCTGTATACCAAGAATGCTTGTCTACTTCTAAAATACAGTCATCACAGAGGCCGAAAACAGAAGCCATGAGACAGTTCTTTACCCTCCATTTGAAAGCCAGATTATAAGTGGATTGTTCATAAATGCGTAGTTACCATCAAAATGGTCCCAGGCAAGAAACTTCTTGAGCAATTTCAGCTCCTCCTAAGTTGGCTATGAATAGCCAAGGTTTCCATTTTATGTATCTCTCAAAAAGAGCAATTGCATAACACCACAAAGCTACGTGAAGATTCAGGCTCAGGACCTCAATGACAGAGGGAGACGGGTCCTAAATTGATATCACTTTCTATTTTGCTGGGGAGAGCTCTAATTTGAACACTTGCCCCAGTTTATATTGCAATTTGGTTAAGATAATATCTTGAGATTTAAAAAAAGAGAGCAACATTGCTTTTTATAAGTATCCCTGTAGCATATTCCTATTTCATACAATGGAGCTTAGCTATAATCACTTTTCCCTGGTTGTGTGTGGTTTCCTACCTCTGGACATTAGCAATAATTTTTAATAGTTTATCCTGTATATGAAATGAAATAAGAGAATAGTGAGAATAGTTTACATTTGAGGACTTTGGCTGCAGCTACCGAGAGGACCTTAGCAAAAAATGTAAAATTATACCAGCTGCCTAACCACACATAATTCAGAGACTTAGACTCCACAGCTTTTCTGTTCTTTCTGTGCGACAGGTAAAGCCTCTGTTGGAGACAATAAGGGAATGTGTTTCTCCCACCCATCGAATTGACAAGGTCAGTTCAATTACTTTCCAGAAGTAGGAAACCTCACACTGCCAGGGAAAAATGATTATAGCTAAGCTCCATTGTACGAAATAGGAATATTCTTGAAAAGTTATTATGAATAGAGTATTTGTAAATGGAATCATATTAGCATGTATTATGGAGGCTCACTCTATAAAGGAATCCCGTCGTGAATCACTTTATAAAATGAAAGGAAAATTTGTCATGCAAATAACTGCCTTTTAATTTATCTGTTTTAAAGTCTGGATTTTCATGCATTGAGTCTTAGAACAGAGCACACCTGTATATTCCCTCTAGCTCTGCACACTGTGGGCCAGATAAATGTTTGCTTCTTTTCTTCTCAACTCCTAAAGCATGTTAAAGAAAAACCTCTCCTATTGATACAGAACAGTCCACCTCGGAATACAGACCAGGAGTCATCAAACCTTTTCTGTGTAGGGCCAGATAATAAATATTTTTGGTGTTATAGGCTGTCCAATCTCTGTCACAACTACTCAACTGTGCTACCGGAGCCAGGAAGGCAGCCTTAGATGATAGTAATTGAATGGATGTAGCAGTGTTCCAATAAAACTTTATTTGTAGGCACAGAAATCTGAATTTCATAGCATTTTTACATGTTGAGAAGTGTTGTTATTATTTTGATTTTTTTCCCAATGATTTAAAATTGTAAAACCCATCTTAGCTCAAGGTCTAAATCACAGTGAAGGGCTGAATTAGGCTCACTGACAGTAGTTTGTCGAACACTGATATACACATTCGTATCTATATCCTATCTCCTCCAATAATCTGTAAACTTCTTGAGGGGAAGGGCTGTGGGGAGGTGCACCTGGATCTGAATCTAAAATGTGCCACTTACTTCCTGAGTGTCCTGTTTCCTCTCCTGTAAGATGAGAGTAACCACAGTTACTTTGTGGGGTTGTTGTGTATTAATGTGTAGACTGACACATAGTAGGTGTCCAGTGAATGGTAATCATTGTAATTTATTCCTAGATTCCATACACTACGTAGCCAGTGCTTAGTAGGCACTTAGCAAATGTTTGTTGAGTGAACGGAAACACGCAAATGACCTGCCATCGGAGTTGCTATAAAGTTGATTTCCTCAGGGCAGGGGCAGCACACAGAAGGACCCATTAACAAGGATCAATGAATTTCCCACTCAAAGCTGCCCTGACTTCTCAGCAAACTCAGCCAGAGATAGTGAAACGCACACCCACTGAGAGGTCGGATTTATTTAATCCAATAGAGGGCAATGGTGCACCCCGAACCGTCCATTCTGCCTCCTAACTTTCTC